CAGTGAAGTTTAAGATCTTTTGGATGGGGAGGGTAAGGGGTATTGAATCTGATTTGAGTTGCTTTTAAAACACCAGTTTATTGCAGATTGAAAATTATGTTAGAGACAAGTGGTGCCACACTGAATGGCCGTCCCTGCATTTCTAGGGTGAAACAGTAATGTGAAATAGCCTGTGTGGATCGTGATGAATAATAATACTGCAGTGAGTTTTATAGCACAAGTAATGCTTTTTTTCTTTCATGAATGAGATTGCTGAAAGAGTCCTTTTGAATTGCCCTTGGTCTTCCTGTGTACCCTCTGTTCACAGTCTGTTATTATCCTTAATTGTTGGTACAGAAACGGTGATTTCTTTTCTAACATGGTAGTAGATGCTGTGCTTGCTGTTAAATACACTGATTCAAGAGGCCAGCCTCGCTACCCGGTCAATTCTGTGAATGTTCTGAAAGCCCACGGGCGAAGCCAGACAGAAAGCATGCTGATCAATGGCTATGCACTCAACTGTGTGGTGGGATCTCAGGGTAAGTTTAAGTTTGGGATTCAGTCATAGAATGAAATCACTACAGTTCAAAACTAGCTCTTTTTGAGCCAGGCGTGGTGGCACACGCCTGTAATCCCAGCACTCCAGGAGGCTCAGGCAGGAGGATTGCTGTGAGTTCGAGACCAGCCTGGGCTACATAGTGAGTTCCAGGTCAGTCTCAACTACATAGTGAGACTCTGTCTCAAGCAAACAAACAAACAAAAAAACTAGCTCTTTTTGTAGTTTGCATGCAGTATTTCTTTTTGTAACCCAGACACCTATAAAATGTTAGGGTGAGTGCATTGAAACCAATTGTGTACACTTAATGCCATTAATCTCTTCAGGCGTTTAATGTACTAAGTTAAATCTGAATTTGTGTGGTTGTTTCTAGTTTAGTATATTTGTTAAGTCATGATTTTAAGGATAGGTATATGGGATGAACTGTAGCACTGTTAAAATTACATAGAAGAACTTAGTGTTTTATTCACTTACAGGCATGCCCAAGAGAATCGTTAATGCGAAAATTGCTTGCCTTGACTTCAGCCTGCAGAAGACAAAAATGAAGCTTGGTGTGCAGGTGCTTATTATAGATCCTGAGAAACTGGACCAAATTAGACAGAGGTAAATTGAGATTTTAGCTTTTGTCCAGACTTTTTTTTCCCCCTCAGTACTGGGGATTGAACTCAGGACCTTGCACTTGTGCGGCAGGCACAGCACCACTGAGCTATATCCCTGGCCCTCTCCAAGAGATTTTTAGCTTTTTTTGTTTGTTTGTTTCTTTTGTTTTGTTTTGAGACAAGGTCTCACATTGCAGTTGAGACTGACCTGGAACTATGTACCCCAGGCTGGTCTTGAACTCACAGCGATCCTCCTGCCTCAGCCTCCTGAGTACTGGGATTACAGGTGTGCACCACTACGCCTGGCTAAGAGATTTTTACCTTTAAAAGTAATGTTGGTTAATTCCCTTTGTTCTAGACAAGGTAACAGTAAACTAAAACAATGAGTCCTCATGAGTAATAGGCAAGTTATCAAAACCTCTAATGTGATTATATAAGAGGGTTTTTGTTTTTTTAAATACTGGGAATTGAACCCATTGCCTTCAACACTGAGCTACATCCCCAGGCTTTTCTTGCTTTCTTTCTTTCTTGTCTTTTTTGAGAGAGGATTTTTAAGTTGCCATTCCCTGGCTCAAACTTTTCATCCTTTTGCATTACACTCCCAGAATGGGGGAGATTATAGGTTTCTACCACCATGCCCTGAAGAGAAGTTTTTATTTTGCTTTGTAGGACTTCATCAGTTGATCCAAGTCAAACTTTTATGTAAGCTTCCAGGAATATTAGAAAATGTACTTTTTTAGGAGGGGGGTTAGGGGAGACACATATGAAAATTTATCTTTTTGTGGGGTTTTGGTTTTGTGAGTCTGTTTAAATTCAAGATATAAAAGTAAAGAATTTACAATTGAGTGATACAGTATTGCAGAGTTCATTGTCTTCTGCTCTAGAACTGTTTGCTTCATTGACCTTTCTCAACTACATCTTAAACTATTCGTCTCTAGATTCACTTGTAGCTCCCTGTCCTTAAATGAAAGCCACTTTCTCCCACACATCCTATTCCAGTTGCTTCCTGTCCTTGTACATTACTCTCTCTTTTTTTTTTTTTTTTTTTTTTCCAGGGTTTTA